TCATTAAGTTCTCTAAAAGTTCGCCCGAAAACTTTCACCCGCGAACACCGTAATAAACGGCAGTCCGCGAATTGATCACGGTTTTGTGCTATCTTTTCCGCGCGACGCGTGTTCGATCACTGCGACGCTTTATTGCAACAACGATATGCGCGGGACTAATTTTATACAAGATAAACGAAACATGAAAACCGAAAAAGAATGCTAACCTCCCCCTCGTCGATTGAGTATTTAAATGCTTCTCCGACGTTCCGCGGCGAATAGTACGAATCCTTCCTCGAAGATCGTTCGATCGAACATTTCTGGATCGATTATATCCCCGATCATCTCTCAGATTCGAAAGCCTCTGATGAGTCAATTCGGCTCCCGGTGTGATTTATTTCGTCCCCCTCTTTTTATTAATCGATCAAACATCCATTTCTCGCATCAAGTTCGGAGAACTTCGATTGGCGACTCGTACTGTTCGCCGCGGAACGATCAATCTCCCGTCTTCGCGCACCAATGAAAACGAACGGTGCCGGATTTCGGCGGGATCAATCCCGCCGAAACATCGTGACGGATCGTCGGCCTGCGGGCTCCTTTTCCCTGTCGAACAGGCGGTCGGCCTGCTCTTCTCGCCGTTGCCGGCGTGCACCGTCGCCGACTGCGAGCGGAAATAAATCGTCCTCGTGGTCCGGGCTGCATTTGTGCGATGACCGTTGGGCGATCGGTGGATTCCTCTCACCTTCTCACATCCCTCCTCTGTTCATTTTTCGTCGAATCAACTCGATGTGCTCTGAAACATTCTTCAAAAGGCGAATTGCCCGATTAGAACGTACCGGCGGCGTACGGGCGGGATTGAATTGCAAATTCCTGGACGGATCTCAGGGGCGTGGATGAAAATGCAAACACAGATTTATGGAGCGCATCAGGGTCGAGACAACCCGGTGTTCCGAGTTGGAAAAGTAAGTCGAGGCTGAAGCCGCTCCGGGACCCGTGCCTTCCGTGGCAACCTAGTTTCGCGTTTTGAGGGTTCGGCGAAACCGCGTGACGCAATTTACTCTGTTTGCGGAAGTCGCCGCGGAGAGGAGATTAGCGAATCCGTGATACTACTAGCTCCTCGAGAGTTTTGGAAACTCTGCAGCAGCTCTCGGGGAATGATAGAAGGTACTTCGGCGCATGGAAGGTTTACAAAGGCGGATAATTTTCATCGTTTTCCTTAGGGCGAAATGGAGTAATGAACTTTACTATCGACTTCCCGTTTTAAAAACATTTTTGAACATGTCGAACGAGTAATGATGTTTCATACATTTCACATGAGAATGGTATTTTTGAAAATAGTATTTTCCAAAAGAAAGATAATGGAAATTTTCTTCCTTTTGTTGATTTGATCAAAATAAATTACTCGATGATAAATACTGAACGTTATTGTTTTCTGTCTTCTTTGGTAAACCTTGAATGCTAAAAGTAATGTTATACGTTTGAACAGTAGGATACATTTTCTATGGTTATGTGTTTTTAACATAGAACCATGTACAGTTCAGGTCTCACGTTAGTACCATCAACCGCCAAGCTAAAAGTGCACAGGGGCAAAAGGACTCGGCCGCTTCGACTTTCGATGGATGGTCATTATTGGTACGCGGTATTAATAAAGAACGGAAGCGAAACCGAATGCGATGAAATGAGGCGTAACGATAGAAAACAAAATTCCCTATGGTTCCGTCTCACTTCATCGCATTCGGTCTCATTTCCATCCTTTGTTATTACCACGCGTCAATAATGACCATGCGTCGAAAATCAAGGCGATCCGGGCATTGTGAGTACAAGTGTTCCCTTGCCCCTGTGCACTTTCAGCTCAGCGGTCGATGGAGCTAACGCAAGAGGCGAATAGCAAAAATATGGAGTGAAAAATACCAGAAAATCACCTATTCACTGAAGATCCTCCTCGCATTTGGGAATGTCGAAAATCTCGGCGAAGAGAGGCGGTAGTTTGAGCTTGGTCCAGTTCCTCCTGAACCAGTCGAGGAGATTCGCGTGTCTGGCACCCAGGGCTCTCAGCTCCGGTATCCTCTGCGAAACGCTCGAAACGTTGGAACAGCTGCCCGCAGAGGTAGCCTCGCCGGAGACCGTGTGGTTCCGTAGCGCCTGCACCTTCAGTGCCTCCAGGAGACGATCCTGAAGCCTCTGCACTGCCTTCACGTCGTTCAGGCCTGGCCTCTCGCCCAGGAGAACGGCGCCGGAGAAGAGACCCAACTCGGTATCCGACAGTTGATGGCCGTTAAGAGCCGATGTGAATTGCATCAAGGCGGATACGAAATCCGGCTGTTTTGTTACAGAACGATCAATATTAAGAAATTGTCAGCTAGTGCATTCAAGAGAGCTTTTGTTGTTAGGGTTCAAAAAACTTGGCTATTCTGATTTGTTTGGAATTTGCATGAAGAGATTGTAGATTAAAAATGATGTATGAAATAAATTGAAAGATAATTGGAAGATTAATTGAATATGTTGATAAAGACAAGTTTTAGGTGTTTAAACTCGTGATTGATAGTAGATTGATTACATTAGATTGAATGAAGGAGTTAGGTGTTTTTGGTGATCTTTTCTAACAGTTTGTGTTAAATACTTGCACAAACGTTTCTATCTATTTCTGAACAAGGTGCAATCAGTAAGTTTAATGAGTAGATTCTCACCTCATACATTAATTCCATTTGCTGCCTAGTGATATAAGTACCATCCTCGAATGTCATCGAGCTGTCAGTGGTCATCTTTGAGATATGGCTGAGCCAGACTTCAAAGAAACCGACCTTAATCAAGATTAGCTGATCATCTTGCGAGAGCTCACAAAACCCTGGCACCCTTTTGGCAAACTCTACCACCCTTTGCACCGACGGCGTTATCCTAGTGGCGAACTGTTGCCACAGCCAGATCCTTTGCGATTCGACTGTTTCTGCCGTCGACGACGCCGCCTCTGGGTCTTCGGGACTGGCAGGCTGCGAAGAAGCACTCGCCTAATCAGCCGGATTACAAAAGAAACAGGCGTTGCTGCCAGTTCCAGCAGGACATCTCAGTCTAATTTCAATCAAACCTTAGCAGCGGATGCGACTGAACTCGTTCTTTATTCGTGGATGTATCAGATCTATCAAATACGTTATACTCTCCCTAATTACCAACAAATATTTACAGTACTGGTAAACAGCAGGGAACTTACACAATAACTTAAGCAAAATTAGAGAACTCTAGGGAAGTTTAAATAATAACTTATGCACTTGTACCATATTCTACCAACATTTAACCCCTTGCCTTATGATTCATTTCTCAGCTGTGATCGATACAACTTTGCCATTAATAATTTATTGAAAAAGAAGAAAAATTCTACGCATATTTTATGCCCACTTTTGCATTAAAATAGAATAATTGATAACGGAAAAATAATATTTCATTTGAATTCACAAGAATTGAGTGATATTTATGTTTGTTAAATTCTGTTTAAAATCTGCACCACGAGTCTCATGTGTTATTGTAAGGCAAGGGGTTAATTGTTATCACCTTCTACTGTACCATTATTCTGGTCAATTCTGATTTTCGTATTATGTTCACCTATTTTAGTATTATCATATTTTTACCACACGTTCCCTGTACATCGTCACATCCGCCGTTAACATATCGAATTTTTCTTGCTCTCAAACTCACCGGTATTATCATCGGTTTCCGGACGATGCCCCTCGTCGATTCTTCAGTGAAACCGCAGTGAGCGTGATGCGCTTGAGAGACTTGAAGTATTACGTTGTATACGGCCAAGTGTTTCACATCGGCATCCGACTGATCCGCTTCGACCACTGCGGCTGGCGGCACGCAGGCTATGGTGTTCTGACTTTGACTATTGTTGTTGTTATTATTGTTGTTGTTGTTATTGTTCTGGCTGGTGTTGTTGTTGTTATTATTGTTGTTATTGTTATTGTTATTATTTCCAGCACCGGAGGATGTCAACTGCTGCACACCAGTGGTCGTTGTCGTTGTCGTGGTGGTGGTTGGTACTGCGTCTTCGGGGCCGCGTTCTCTCGAACGTTTTGGCACCCTGCCGTATCTTACGGCTGGAACAAGTTCATTGGTCCCTTAGAATGCAAATGTGTGTTTTTTTGGGGGGTGAAATGCGAACTATGGAATACTTATTTGAATATATTCGGGAACTATGAATTTCTTTTACAATAATCTTCTCTTGACAAATATTTTGAATATAAGATGATAAATTTAGAAATATTAAGTACCAAAATTAACGGTGATTAGTGTGTTTTATTCTGTAACTTAGGCGACACTGTGAATTATTTGTCGATATTATTTGGACAGCCGATATAAAGTACCTGTGAAATTTAGGAGTGTACAAAAGATGATGAATTGAGATATAGATGATCATGTGGTATGAATGAATAGAGACAGACAGTAAAATTGAATTATGAAAGTATTATTTTGACCGCTGTTGTCGATTACTTGGTTATTACTAAATTTGTGTCACGATACATTACATAAATTATGCGCTTAACTTTCAATGATAATTGTTCCAGTTACAACAGTTAAAGTGTGCATCGGGTACATGAACTCGGTAAAAAGCAGAGATTAACAAGGAAATGGCGCAGCGTATAAAAAAAATTGTATGACGATGCTATAATGAAAAGAGAACGATGTTGAGCGATTAAGGTCAGCGTGCCGGATTAAGAGCAACTTCCATTACCGTATACATCAAGAGCTTTCATCCCCTCGTTAATCATTTTCAACTGGTACCTTAAGCTCGTCCACAGTAGCATCGAATAAATTCCTAATCTTTCTGTTGCCTTTCTAGCCTTGGCAGACTGCCAAGACTATTTACCTATATAGATCTTTGATTACAGCCATTTAAAGATAATTAAACTCATAACACTATAAAAACAAATTGAATCTGCCATGTTTCTGCAGTTTTCTTCAAACAGTTGCGTAAATATTAAAAAATTAATTAATTATTTTCATTATGATATGATTTTGGGTTTATTCATTCCTTTGAGCTGCATTAATTACAATTATCAATTAACTGAACATACATTTATAACAAATAGTATCGTGTAAAATAATTTGTTTACTTTTGCGTTGCAATAAAAATTTATTTTTATCTCTTATAATAGCAAGATCAGTGCATAGATAAAAATGGGTCTATCAACTTGACAAATACGTTATTATTCAACTATTTAAATTATGGAACAGATTAAAACACAATGAAAGTCTATTCGTAATTAGAAAGAATCCTTAGTGAAAGAATTGAAATTCAATTTAACGGGAATCGTTTAATGGGATTTCAAATGCGTGTACGAATCGGGAACGTAATAATTACTCATTTAATACGATTTTCCAGTGATAATTGCACAATTGAAAAATTTATGCCCGACATCCTGCCTCAGGGAATTATGCTGTCCAATAGGGGATGATGCTTCCGGACGGCTTTGCCTTTCACGTTGTAATGTACCCCTTTCGAAGCGGATCAGGAGGCTGCTAAAGCTTATTACGATTTTGCCGACAATATGAGCGAGAAGCTTCCCGGACTGCCTATTATACACAGACGCATATTGCACTGCGGAACTTCGACGTTTAATTATGCACGCAACTTCGCTTCAGTTTACTTTACCCTCGCCGTTCTCCGACCGAGCCCGGAAGTTCCGGAAAGTAAAAGACACCGCGATTATTAAAGGGAAGTTGCGTGTACTTATCTCCTCTATCACGGTACGAAATGAAAAAGAAATCCATTAACACGCTGACTGCCACGAGAATTTCTAGCGTTTTGTACAATGTTATAATAATACTTATCCTTTGATAACAAAGGCAAATGGTATTGAAAACAATTGTTAATGATTTAGTATCACAGAAGTCATATTACACTATTATCTAGCTACTTATATTACTAAATATTTTTATTCGACGTCAACGTTTTTTTGTAATTATTCTTTCATAATTTGGAAGCCCGGTCATTGGTGACCACTGTAGCAGTTAACATGTTAATAGTAAATTTTTGTTTATAGTGATCGACTTTAGTTATTCATATTTTTTACTTCCTCTTTGTTGAGCTACAAATAGTTACAAATAAAACCTTAAGAACATCTATGTTTTTGGAAATTAGAAATATTTAGTAATATTCTTTCGTCCAAATGAGATTTGGAAAATTCTTTTGATAGAAGTAGTTATTGTTAGTTATTCTCCGGGCGTTAGATATTCATTAAAGATCTAAAATTCTAATTCAAAAGTTACAGCAAATACTAAATTACTGTAATCACAGATTATGAACAAGTTATGCGGAAATTGTTTTCGAGCGACTGATTTTAGTAATTAATACATTTCACTGTTTCTTGTTGAATTGAGAATTACGAGGAGTTAAATCATTAATGATTCTTGTTCATTAATTAGATACTTTTACTTTGAGTGTAATAGTATTTAATTAATATTTTATAATTGGTGTCAAGTGACATCATTATTATGTTCTACTAAACGTGATTAAGTTTAAATTATTGAAGCCGATGAGAATGAACAAACTGTACAATATTGATCACACATGACATAGCTATTTTCCTAAAATATGGTTGACTGTCAAACTCGTCAACTCCAGAATTTAAATCTAATCACGTTCGAAAAGTAGAGTATTACTTCGTAAGTAACATCCCTCTGTTAGTAGTAGCGCGCAATTCGATCCCTTAACGAAGCGGAGCCCTTTTAGAAAAATTATTCCAACGTTTTACCAACATTGTAGCTCCATTCAGGGTCGAATGACACAGTGATACTTGAGTAGTAATGAATGAAGTTGCCAGCGATGTCAGCGAAGCGTTGGAATAATTTTTACAAAAGGGTACGGGTTACACCTCAAAGTTTCAATGACAAGATTGTATTTCATTTTAAAGGGTGTCTTACAATTTTTTATACAAAAAATGTCAAGATTTTGTCTAGTTTCATTATATGCAATAGTGATTCTTTTAATCAATTCATAATGAACACATGTCTCTTTATTAAATAAATCCAGTGGTGTTTCATATTTGTATTGCAACATTTTAACAAAGCATTTGACACACTCCATGTCACCGGAAATTTCGGTTATATCTTGCTTATAAAGTGCTCTGATTTTTAAAGTGATATATTAAGTTACATTCAAGTGTTTGGTGACTTTTATATATATTTTGATGTTATTTTTTTACATTTTCTCGATGTGTACCGCTATTTGTTGCAACATATTTCACAAAAAATGTTTCCTTACAAAAATTGGCACTGAATGTGTTAAGGAATGTGTACACGTGGCACTGAATGTGTTAAGGAATTGTTGTGACATTCAAATTTAATAAAAACATATTTCACTTGTATTCTTATTTCTTTCTAAGTTCCTCTAATTGACGGAAATCATACCTACTACTGTACACGAGAATCGCGACACCAGAAAAGAAACTAGAATCGAATTAAAAACTTCGCCATCTGTAACAGTTGAGCACGCTGTGACAGTGACTATGCGACAGCCAAGTAGTCAAGGAATAATTAACATGAAGTACATTCCCCGCGAACACGAATACATGCTTTACCGTCGTTACTTTACGTTTCCTCGATGCTGCAATTTGCATGCGGAACAGCATACAAACACGTCGTGTTGCACTAACATTCATGTTGCCCACTTGTTCTTCGGCATTACGTAAAACCGTACAGGTGAATCGGATGCCGTGGCGGGTTTAATGTACTGCGTAAACAAATTCGTGGAGCAACGCTCGCTTCAAGTGACTTGTTACTTACAATCCCTTGACATGCCGACAGCTAGGCACTTCTTAAATCTGCAGTACTGGCAGCGGTTCCGATTTAATCTGATGACCAGACACTTGCCGTCCCTCAGGCACCTGTACTCTATCTGCTTCTGAATGCTTCTCCGGAAGAAGCCCTGTAAAAGAGAACACAAACGGCATCATGACAATTGCTTGCCTGCATTAGATGATCTTTTCTCTTATAGCTCTAAGGTTAGGTGTCCATTCGAAAGTTTCCATACGAGCTACTTTTGTATACTTTCAAATTGTGTATTCATTTGAGAGCAACTGGAGGAATATTAATTTTCTTTTTTGGAGAAGAACTCAGTATAGATTAGCAAAATGAAATTCCACTGTATGTATATTGAGATTAATAATTAAGATTGCAACCTTTGATTCGATCACAAGTTACTGAGAACTAGGATTTGCTGTAATCTTAATTTTAATTGTAAACTAGTAACGACTGATGTATTAATTTTGAATCGTCAGCGAAAGTATTTAACCCGTTAACTGTGGAATTTAGTTTCAAAAATCTCTCGTTTTGTGCGCAATAAAATGAAAAAATGAAGTGTGTACTTGTCAAACACGGGGCGAATGCATCTAGGGTATATTTTAATGAATAGCCAATACGAAACAAAGAAGAGTTACACGTTTAACTGAAAAAATAAAGAATTCATCGCTGAAAGAATTAGTATCATGTCAAGCTTTAAGATGACATGTATACTCGTCAAACGCAATTAACTGGTTAATCAGATTATACTTTACCTAACTCTAGCATTGAGAATCCCAGAGATCACTATCAGAATTCGAAACTCATTCGTTCTATGAGAATAACTCTCCTAAATTTTAGAACAACCGATAAAAGACAGCTCTCGAATAATGTGTCTTTACTTATCTACAACGTATTCATCTGCCAGAAATGCTTGCGAAAGAAATTCGCGATAGTTTTATTCTCAAATGGACTCGTATCCTAACGAGGTTTGTTCCGCGTTCCTTCAGCCGCCATCATTGATCGACGCGCAGGACGAACGATCTCTCGTTACGACGCGGCGCCGTGAAATCCCGCGACACGTTGTCATTCGCTCGTTTATCGCTTTCGCTTTCCCAAGCAGCCGCGTAACGGACGATTAACACGGTAATTTCAACGCTTGGCAGTGAACGAAGTCTTGCTGCTGTTACACTAGCCTTCAATAGCAGCGGGACCGCGTCCGACGGTGAAGCGTCGCTCGGCGACGCTTGAAAAATCGCTGACGATTCGCGCGCTCGAGCACGTTTGAAACTTCAAAGTCGCCGCCGTGTGTTATTTCTTCAAAGGGGTTGATAAACCTTTGAATATCCCCATTCGCCAACAGACCTCCTCCATTTCATTTCCGTGCCTCGACCAGAGGGGAAAAGAAAAATCACTTTTAGTTCAACGATATTACTCCCCATAAATCCGGCGTGAATATCGAACGTTCTCGCTCGACCAGGGTCCATCTGTTTTCGGACCGATCGACTGTCATTCTGCGAAGGGTTTCAGCGACTGTGATAAATCAGTCTTGCCACGGTCCTTCAATTTTTTTCGATTTCATTGTTTTCATGTTCGGTTTATCTAGCTTTTCCAGTTTCAGTGTAATTTTTTTATCATATTTAACTTTTAACTACAGCTGGACTAGCCGCGAAGCTATACCTTTGTAAGTCAAGATTTGACGTGGTCTGTATTAAATAAATGTAGCTCTGCGATTTGAGACTGACAATTTTCTACTATGCAATTACGTTAGTTTTACTGTGATTTTTTAAAAAGGCGATTGAAGGTTAAATGTAATGTATAATGTTTTTGTAACGTACACATATTTATTAACACCACCCAAATGAACTTGGTAAATTATTGCATAGTGTTTTTGAAATTTCTTTCTGAGCTATAACATATTGCCTTTTGAAAATTGAAAATTGTTCCAATAGCTATGAATAGTATACAAGGATAGAATTTTCACGCAAGAAAACAATTTTCAACGTTCTATAACAAATTTGTATTGTCATCTCCGGCATTCCATACGAGTGCTGAGGGTTAAACCTGGAACGTTTCCGAAGCGATGCGTGATTCGTGCTATACCGCTGAGACTGAGAGGGGATAAAAAAACAGCGGACAGTATCTCGAATACGGTTATCGGGCGTCCATATTCTTCCCTCGGATTGTCGGGTAAGTTGAAGGAATATAATTGAATTATGCATTATCTCATTGACCCACAGGCATCGAGTGCTCGTAAGAAAAAGGGACTCTGCGCGAACGGAAATAATTTAGCACCTGCCGACACCGATTTCAAAATTCTCCCGTGCGATCAATATTCGGCGACGGTCTATTCCAGAAAGCGACGTTCCGGTCACACAGAAATATTCTCCGATTATTGGTTTTCTTTAATATTCTTTCCATTTTTGCGCGTGGCGGAAACACGTCGCGAAAATCTGCTTTGAATTCCATACCCGTCACCTTTAATGGAGTTTCTTATCGATACTTCGTGTTTTGATTGTATGAAACAAGAATATCGAACAAAATGGAGAACTAGATACTCGATAATGGGTAATTGAAGTTAGTCGAAACACATTCAAGACACCTAAATTGTATAGTCCAAGTTTCATTTGAGTTCATTTATCTTAGACGTTTTGAAGAAATACGTTAGTTTCCTTCTTCATTAACCCCTTGCCCTATGGTTTATTTTTTAACACTTTGAGTGCTGAATACTCCTAGTCGAAACGTTCCGTGTCGACGGAATATTCTTTTCCTCATCTGAAGATCGATGAATTATGTTAATTCATACAATTAAGTAAGTTTTAATTAAACTGTAATTGCAATTTCTCAGTTTCACCAAATTGAATAATGCTACGAAACGCGTATATTAATCACGTATACTTGTAATTGTCACTACAACATGTCTAAGATTACGCCCATAGTCCACAGCGATGATTTTCGCTTTACTACTTTATCATTAATAATCTATTAGGAAAAGAAACAGGTTTGATGCTTCTTCTATGTCTATGTTTATTCCAAAGGTTAACGATTAATAACAGAAAGGTAATGTTTAACTTATATTTAAGAAAAAATAAATAACACTTAGATTTCTCAAATTCAATTTAAAATCTTTATCACAAGTCTGACATGATGTTGTAGATCAAGGAGTTAACTTTCATCTCCTGACTCTTCAAAATTCGACTATTTCAAGTCTTCAATTGTTTCAGTGTTGGCAACAAACATTTCAACATATGTGTCAGTGCATTATCCCCTAAATCATCATCCCCAAATTCTATACACCAAGTTCTACAATAAAAGTTGTTGCTCCTGTAAATGCGTTGACTCCATAGAAAGGAATGGCAGGTACTAGATGCACATTATTACGTACACGAGTATCGTCTTAGTGCAACCTCTTTTCAACTTAACAATATTTCGCAATTATCGATGGATCCTTGCTATCTGATTGGGCATAGCGAAAGCGTGCATCGTGCACGGTGCTTTTTCCGTTCTCCGACACGATGTTATCGTTGCCGGGAATTCGTCAGCAGGAAACACTCGAGATAATTCTGATGGTGCTGGGTCGGATGGTAATTGACTCAGAAATGAAAGGGACGGGCCAGGGCTTGCGCAGCGGCGTTCGAGCCTCGGCTTAAAATTAATTACGCGAGATTCGCTTCCTACTTGCAGCAGATAACACGACCGGCCGATCTCTCGACGGTACCTGACGCGAGGATATCGGTCGGCGTGACTCATAGTCCGCCACTATGGCAGTGAACACGCGATCAGGAAGTCCAGGCTGATTTTTTTCAAATTCCTCTGGTTGTAGCTTCTGCGCGCAGTTGATAACAAGCTGCTGTTGCTATTACTTGTTGTTGTTTCGGGGAATTATTGATTCTCGAAGCACGAAGACTAGTGGTATAATTTGCATAATAGCATTTACTTTCTCATCAAGGGCATTGACTATGCTTTCGTGAACGGTGTTAAACAGAGGATATATATGAGGTACTCATGAGACAGATCTATTAACTTCGTACAGCAACAAGTAGAGAAAAGTAATGCAACAGTTGTATGTTGATGTTTAAAATTTTCCTTTAAATGCAAAGTCAAATAATTATTCCAGAATGTACTTTATTTTATCATTACCAGTACAGCTTTAGTCTAACGAATATGTAAAAAGTATAAAATAGTATGTGCTTGAAATAATTTTTATTATTATTACAGTTCTTACGTGGCTAAAACACTTGTTATTATTTCATGGTACCAAACACGGTTATAATGAAATTCATTTTAAACATCAAAAGTTAATAAAATTATTTTATAATAAAATATATAATTAAATAAAGTTAATTAAAATCTTGAAAAATTCGAAAAATGGAGTTAATTGATTTGGCCAATGAGCGGCTCGTATATAAAAGATTATACACTAGCACAACTGACGCTAGGAATCTTAGTTAACCCCTTGAACTGAAAAGACGAGTCTCCCTAGCACGTGCTCTCAGTGCGAAACTGGATTTCGCAAATTATTTTACAAGTATGTTGTATCGCAACTATAATTTTATTATTTTCATAGAAAAATTTAATTGAAGCTGTGATGCTTTAACTCTCTTTAAAGTAATCGTGTTCAGAGGGTTCCGACACAATTAGATAACGTAAGTAGGAACGTTTGATTCAAAATAAATCATGGAGCAAGGGGTTAATAAAATATGAGTTACACTTCTCGGCAAAAATATTTTTACATATTAGTTTGCGTGTCTCATCTAATTCGCAATAATTAATAATTAATTTTCGTGTCTTGTTGAGACTTAAGAGAACATGATTTGAAGAACTAAAAATACGAATGTCTGTCTCCTGTTTGGATGTTCCTTAATGTGAACATATTATCTTCATGATATTTTTGGATTTTATATTATCTGCATTTTTGAAAATTTGTGTATAGGCAAACTCAATTTCATCTCTTCGTAGTTTCTTTTGCAGACCAATTGTATTTAAATGTTCTATGTATTTGATTCTAACATTGTATAATTGGAACGAAATTTTTAAGATTTCGTATGCGTCGAAGGAGTAGCATCATAGCGACACTGTGATAATAATATGATTGATAGCTGGAAGTCTACGTTGAAGTTGATACCATCACTAGCTAAGACGGGTACT